GCGAGATCGAAACTGCAGTCCACTGGTGTCTGGATGAGAACAACCTTTAGGAAGGCAAGGCTATGTGAAATTCAAGGGAAACGTCAGCTCAACTCATATCTTTGTGGTAAAATTCTACTACCAGTCCTTCATCACCTTACACGAAATAGGGTGAATACATCTCATTACATATATATATACCTATCTACATACATGCATGCATACCTAACAACCTACCTACCTACCCACTTAGCAACAAACATACATACCCACCTACGTTATTATCTCCCTTCAAATTTATTTACTTACATACATACCGACCCATCTACCTACCTTACACCGGCTTCCCCTTTGATACCTTTTTACATACTTGCTTATCTACTTTCCTAGCATTTCTTCCTTCATTCCTACCTACTGAAATTCTACATCGCCGCATCATTATCACTCTGGATGCTATTCTAATATTTTTTTCCTTTTTACCTACTTTTCTTCTTTAATTTTTTCCCTTCTTTTTTCTTCCCTTATTTAATATAGACTCTTACTTTTCTGACTGGTTTTAGCGCCGCCCTCAGTAGACCTTGGTGATGATGATTACGCTTCACTAAACCTACTTGTAGCGACACACACTTAGGCGGCATTGGAGGGACTGAGAGCACAGAATTGTGTAAATAAGTGGCTGGGCCATATGAAATGAGGTTGTGAGAAAGAGATGCGGCACTAGAAGTTAGAACAGAAAATAGGGGCAGGGAGTGATGCCACAACGGTTGAACAGAAAAATGGTCAAGTGGATTGTCTTGACTGTTCACGTTGATAAGTTGTTAGTCTGTGCTGATGATGGCACCTCTCACTGACGATGCCGGCGAAACGTTTCGGAATGTACCCAACCAATGGTCCAATTCCGGAAGTCACGAACACCATGGCAGAGGACACGGGATTAAGTACGTTCCACAAGGTCTCCCTGACGCTCCGACCAATTTGCGAAAATAAGGTCGAACCAACCCTACAAAGTTGAAGGAGACTACGACCAAACAAAAAACCACACCAGCTTGGTCTTCATATCTACGTTCTCAGTAGACCTTGTTCAC